TATACTATATACTAAGACAAGTATTTGACTAATTGACGTTAGATACGAACCATACCTAACCGTTCCAACTTAAGTGCAAATTCGACTTAAAGACAGACTGAGGAATGGAACTCATTCGTAAGCCGGGGACTGCCTGTACTTCTGAAAATCAGCCAAGGAAAACCCTATGGATCACAACGGTCCGATCTGCAATCAATCATGGGAATGGTGCGGCACTCGGCAGCGTTTCATTTCGTTATGCACGGTGTCTCCATGAGCCAGGGATGACTCAACAGCAGCAAACAACTATAATAGGCCCCACTACCACCTGCCCCTTTGCTGGCATTTCTGCCCGTGGAAGCATGAACAGTAGTCTCGTTGCTGTGAACATAGTTAAATGCAGATCCTTTTCAATGGCTGGAAACATGTATCAATTTTCAGAGCCCATAGAGTCCCTATTCTATGAGCATGAGAAAAAATTCTAATTGGTTTTATACATCTTCTCATAGTGATCAGAAAGTTAAACCCTTTTAAATCAGAGATTATTCATGAGCTTCTAATACCATTTAAATTACAACTCTCAAATCTTGAGTGATGTAATGGACTGAAGTCCAAAGGCTTTTTTAACTCTGTACATCACATGAAAATTACTTAACATGACAGAGGCAATGTAGATTGGCCTTCTTAACAAAATGTTTGAGGTGTCCACTGTTCACTCGCCCCCCATCCTCTGTAAAATAAACAGATTGCTTACTGTCATGTTTTCTATCCAGGAAATCTCAGATAAATCCAGAGAGGTGCATCTAATCTATATAATCCTCCAATCTCATAATCCACTGGGTGAGTTCTTTCAAATGACCAGGGTAGCCAGATCACACAGAGCAGGTCCTAGATGAAACAGCTCAGAGCCAGCTGGCCATCAACTCATTATTCCTGAAACAAATTCTGCAAGGTAAGTAGATTTTACAGACTAAAACATTGCGGACAGATTTGTTCAGCCAGGCTCTAGCGCTAAATTAAGTAAATTTTCTCAACTATGCAGATATAAAAAGCCATCTGCTTCTGGAATACTAGATAATCCCAGCAAAAGGGAATAGTGTCTGGGAGAATCCCAAACTATGTGTATTCTACAAGTCATTTCTATTTGCTTCAAGCAAACACGCAAGCAAGTCAAATGCATAGTAGATCCTTTATCATTAATGCAATATCCATTAAGTGATCAACAGTTTCAAAACAGCGATCCTGTAAAGAATCAGTAAGTCTAACAGCTTGGTGCTCAGTGTTCTTACAGACTTAGCTTCATTGTACCCTCACCAGAACCTGCATGTTTATTTCCATCTCACAAATGGGCAAACAGGCTCAGAGAGGTAAAGACATTTGTTCACTATCACACAGCTTGTAAGTGGTAGCAGCAATGTGAGCCCAAGTCTATCTAACCCAAAGCCTGTTTTCCAGGACCCAAACATGGACTGGCTGCTGGGAAAATCCAGGCGAGATGCCGCCAGTGCAGGCATGGGAGAAAAATCATGACGGAGCCCCTACAGTAGAGAATCTTCAGAAAGTCCCTGAAGTTAGACAACACATCAAATTGGTTTATTGGGTAACCACTTCGTTGAAAAGGGGTGACACAGAAGAGTTCCTGGGTGGTGCAAATAGTTAACACACTCCACTGCTAACAGAAAGGTTGGTAGTTGGAGTCCACCCAGAGGCACCTCAGAAGAAAGCCCCGGTGATCTACTTCTGAAAAACCAGTCACTGAAAGCCTGATGGAGCACAGTTCTACTCTGACACACACGGAGTCGCCATGAGTCAGAATGGACTCGATGGTAACTGGTAGCTGGTCTATTGAAGAAGTTAATGCAGAGGTTTTGCTCCTCCCATTTTGTGGAGCCGGACAAGTGAGGCTCAGAGATTGCGACTTGCTTAGGTCCCAGGAGAAACCAGTGACTTTCCTGAATAATCCCAAAGTCTATGGATTGAAGCCAAGTGCTCAGTTTCCCTTGCTCAAAACATCCTATTGTGTCAGTCACCTCCGAGAGATCCATATCTATTTGATTAGGAAAGTCATCTTGTTAGACGAAAAGGGAATAAGAACACCTCTTTTAAATTGACTCTATCTTACTAAGGTGTTTTACATGTTGGTGGGATTATTAAGATTTAACATTGTAGTTAAAAATGAAATTAATCGTATTATAATTTTGCTTTCCTAGTTGTAAATTAAATTCGCTGAGAGGTCCTTTCAGTAAAATTAACATTTCATAAGATGCCCCTTATCAATCTGGCATGTCAAGAACCCAAACTACTGTTTCATCCACAGCGAAATTAATTGTACAATTATTTAATAGAATTTATAGACAGATCACTTATTTTTCACTCTTTGGCTAATGAAATAAACAGGGAAAGCTGTTGTGCCATGTTTCATTGGTTGTGCAATGACAAGCTGAACATCAGAGCTGGTGTCACTGGAATTCTAATTTAAGAACAAAATTAAACTGCAAAGAATAAAGATATCCAGAAAGTTCTGAAGCAGAAAGAAAAACCATCGTGCATATGGCTGCTAACACGAGATATGTTCATTACATGCGAAAGCCCAGGGAAGGCAAACATGAGGTTTAAAAAGACACCATCTGTTGTGTGATGTTCCAAATTATAAACTCAACCCTTAATTTCTACATCACCTGATGTTTAGCCATGCTCCTTCCTTGGAATGGAAAAAAAGAAAAGGCTTATAGCACATTAACTAAGTAGGTTTAGCAGGACCTATGGATAAGCCCAGCATCCCAGCCTATACATTCTCTCCAGGGAAAATCACTGTCTGATTTTACTTTTAAAATAAACACCCATTGCAGTGGTTGCCGTCAGCTGAGAATTCACAACAACCCCATAGCAAGCCACAATCTTTTCTGTAGTTTTTACATTCTTTAAAATCCCTGGGCTCCTTGGAAGAAAAAGCAGAGCTTTTAGAAAGCCCTCAAATCTGTGTATTGAAAGTAGAGTAATTCCTCAGGTTAAAAAAAAAAAAACACATGTTTTTTAAAATAAAAAAAAATAAAAAAAAAATTTAAGACAGAAGGAAAAGAAGAGTATGTAGCCTGAATCAGAAAACATGTTCTGTTTAAATATTCAAAGGCAACACGCAGCATACATAACAGGAGAAATTTCTATTAAAAAAAAAGTAACATATATTTGAAAATGCCCACATTTTCTTACTTGTAGATCTGAAATACCCTAATTTTAAAAACACATTTAACAAATGCAAAACAGCTCATTCAGGGTCGACTGGAGTTCACAAAATAATTTTATTATATGTATGAAAGCATACAGGCAATAAAATTAAGAAAACATCCACAATACATAAATAACACAGACCTGATGCAGGATATACTTTTCAGTGGGTTTTTTCCTCTGTTACCAATATCATCCAAATGTTAAATAAATTGCGTATCAACAAGAACACTTTGTAAACATTTCAAAGAAACGCTCCCGAAATGCCCCATCTGAGTTAGTATTGGCAATGGAGGCTTATGATACTTTTTACAGCCAAAGGGATGACATAGGAACTGGATGTCAAAGCACAAAGAAAGGGCTAGCATTTGTCAAAAGAAATCCTGATGGCTTTGGGGTGCTTAACACACCCAGAAAGAAAGGGTCCCCTGTTTTTTCCACCAACAGAAGTATCTTACTCAAGGATGATAATGAGACACTATTCATTAGTCAATATACCATTAATGTTTAAAGACTTAAAAAAAAATCAATTCTAAGTTCAAATTAAGCACTACAAAAAGTAGCCCCACTGAGCAGTGTGGTTTGACCTGGGTAAGATGGACACGCAGGGTTTGAGCTTTGTTCGTTGGTGAGGCTGTCATGACACAGGAGTGAATGAAACCCACTGTCACTACACATCTCTAACCAGTACAGCCATTTGTTTGGTTCAGAAAAGCTATCCAACACGTGAAATGAGAAAAGATGGAGAGGGCCGATTATTTTACATAAATACAACGTGGCATATACTTATATTATTACCACCTACGATCTTAAATTAGGAGTTGGAATCGTCTTAAGCTGGTTTTTATTTAAGATATTTACAGAACTGCAAATCATTCTCCTGGGAAAGTCTCTGTCATTTAAAAAAAAAACCTTGAATGCAGCAGTAGCTATGCTGTTTCATTTTTTTTTTAAATCTTTCTAGAAAATGAAAAGAACATTCATAGCATTTGTCGACTCTCACCTCATATTCATTTATGTCAGTGAATTTTAAGGGAATCATCACAACTCAGGTTCATTTCTTACCAGTCTTTGCTGCATTTCTAGAAGTTACACATGAGCGTTTAGGATCTCAGACGGTCTGTGTGTTTGTCTCATTGACTTATAAAGTGCTAGTTAAATGGACAAAAATGTGGTTTTAAGGTCTCAGATATCTCATTAGTTTATACTATTAAACATGATAAATATAGATTTATTATAATAAATTAAAATATCCATATAATACAATAAATAAATAAAACCAATATCAACAAAGCATCTCTCGATTCTGGAAGAAAAAAAAATTCCCCTTCCTACTATAAGGCTCAGTTATGTTTTGTTTTAGAAATAATTTATGAAGGCATGCACCTACCTTTACAATCTGAAAACTTTGCCTGGAACAGTGTTAGCACCTGTTTGTACACTGCAAACTCAACCCTTCTCATTTCCTTCCTTGAAAGTTTTAATTTTTAAGTGAAGCTGTTCATTGTTAATTCCTTGCCCCCTTGTTATTTATTTATTTATTTTAATCCTAAAATAAGAATCAGCATCGAAAAACAATTTTGGAGCTAAGACACATCCCTTGTGAGCATTTGCTTCACACATGTCCCTGTATGATTCACTATGAACTACACAAAAAATAGACTGGGGTATATTTTAAAGTATAGTTAGTTGTGTGCTGGGGGCAAGCAGCAGAGGAAGGCTTGCCTGAGACCTCTGAGTCTCAATACTTTAGTAAATTCTTAATAGCAAGCCCAAGAGAAAGCTCCTCTAGATTTTGGGATGAGCATGTCTGGCAGGATTCGTCTCAGGGTTCAGGTTGGGTGCTGTCCATTTTGTGTGATGGGCTGGATCTTCTCAAGAGAGACATCAGTGTCATAGTCCAATATGACAGATAGGGCTGGGGACAGCTTCTCCAAAGGTCTGGCTATTCCACCTGCCTCCACCTTCTTCAGGTCCTCAGAGGAGCCCACAGCATGTGGGATTAGGTAGACCAGATTGCACTCCTTGGAAATGGAGCCTCTCGGCTCATGATGGCTGGAAAATACCACGGCTCCGTTGTTATTGATGCTAACCGTCTCGATGGCATTGCCAGTTGTTGGGCAAAGTCGGTAGCATCCTAAGAGAGTTGAAAATGCCTTCCGGAAATCAGCATTAAAGGCATAGATGATGGGATTCAAGGAGGAATTAGCCCATCCAAACCACACAAACACGTCAAACGTGATAGAATCAATGCAGAAGGGCTTGGTCTCCCCGGACCCACAGAAGGGCACCATGCAGTTCAAGATGAAGAAAGGCAGCCAGCAGCACACAAACACCCCCATGATCACGGACAGGGTCTTCAGAACTTTAGTCTCTCTTTTGAAGGACGTCTTAAAGGAACTTTCTTGTTGGGAGCACTCAGCGGGGTTTCCATTCCCCGTAGTTGTCTGGCAATTCTTGGCATGGACTGCCGCCCTCTCCAAGGCCGAGATGCGCCGTATTTGTTTCTGGGCGATCCTGTAGATCCTGGTGTACGTGACAATCATGATGGCCACAGGGATGTAAAAGCTTATTAGGGAGGACGAGATGGCATATGTTCTGCTCAAGCTAGAATCACAGTTTTCTGTGGTCTCATCCAGGGAAGTGGCATTCCCATCTGAGGGGCTTGAGGGTTTCGCCTTGTGCCAGCTGAGCTGCACAGGGATGAAAGAAATGAGCACAGACAAGGTCCATGCCACGCCGATCAGAATGAATGCTGCCTTGGGGGTCATCTTCCTCTCATACCGGAAGGGACTGGAGATAGCCCAGTACCTGTCCACGCTGATCACGCAGAGATTGAGGATTGACGCAGTGGAGCACATGATGTCAAAGGCCACCCAGATGTTGCAGAAGGACCCAAAAGGCCAGAAGCCAGCAATCTCAGCCACCGCCTTCCAGGGCATGACCAAGACAGCCACCAAGAGATCTGACACAGCCAAGGAGATGACGAAGAAGTTGGTCACCTTGGACCGCAGGTGTCGGAACCTGATGACGGCAGCACAGACCAGCGTGTTCCCCAGGAGAGTGGACAAGATGAGCAAGGACAGGAAGCAGGCTGTGAGGATGCGGAAGGAGAAGTCCCTCTCCACCACCAGCCCAGACCCGTCCATGTTGGAGGTGTTCAGAGTCCTCATCTTGCTGAGGGAAAGCACATTAGAGGCTCTGACGCTTCTAAAGTTCCGAAGCAGGGATCACAGGTCAGTCAGCCTCCGGGAGTCCTCACTTACCAGGCAGCCTCTTGCACATCAGCCCCAGGTGCTCCCCTGGGTGGAGGACCTCACCAGCATTCCATCAGAGGGCTGCAACAACAGGGTGGCAGGGTCTGCCCCTTGGCAAGCCAAGTCAGCCCCGTGAGAGGTCCCTTTTGCTTTCTACAACTGTCTTCTGATTGTCGTGCTCTGGGCCTGTCACAGGGACCAGTTGGCCCCTCACTTTCTGGCATATTCCAAGCTATCAATCCAGAGACTCCTGGCCTCCGCTGAGTTAGTCAGTTGCAGTCAGTCACATTTCAGGGCTGTTGTCTCTCTGGTGGGGACAGAGAATTCTCCTCTCCTGAGTCGTGGCTGAAAATACATTCCTCGCTCCTCCAAGCCCCTTGCTCCTTAGCAGTTCTCCGAACGCCCTAAAAAGCAAAGGAAAGACACGCGGTCGTTCGCCAAGACTTCAGTAGATCTCATCTCTACTCAGGTCAACCCCAATCCAACCAAGCACTGGGCAAGCTCTCTGGGCCACCTACCTTGCCTTGGGTTCTCTCTCTCAAAACCCCTGGAGCTCTGAAAGAGAACTTGGCGAGGCGCCGCAGCTCCACAACGCCCTAGAGACGCGCCTGGGTCCTGCTGATGCAGCACGCAGCCCGGGTTAGGCTCCTGGGGCACAAAAATCGCGGGGTCGCGTTTGGGAAAACGATCCCGGGCCAGGGCCCAAAAAGCTGGCACTGCGCGGCTGCCTGGAACTTGCTGTTGCCGCACGCAGCCGGGGCTCGGCTCCAAAGGCGCAAAAATCACCAGGTCGGGTTTGGAAAAACGATCCCGGGCCAGGGCCCCAAAGAGACGGCGCCGCACCGCTGCCTCGAACTGCCTGAAAGCGAACGCGACCCGGGCGCTCGGTGCTTACTCGGGAGAAGGCACCCCCAGGACTGAGCACTTAAGTGGTTTTTCCTTGCTTCCTTCCTCTCAGAGCCTAGCGTCCGGCGCTCCTCGGGCGGCTCTGGCCCTCGGGGCAGGGCCCCGCGGCTTCCCGCCTCACCGCCCGCGACTTCCAGGAGCCTGGGGAACGCAAGGCAGAGAGCCAAGCTGGCACCCGCGGGCGCACTGGCCGGCTGGGTTCCCGCGGGGCACAGCCCACCCGCCCCCGCGTCCCCTCCCCTGCCCTGGGGGCGGGCTGCGCTTTACAGGCAGAGTTGCAGCGACACCCGCACGTGGATCCCCTGGAAGGTGCTGCGGGCACAGGCGGTAGGGGACGCCCAGGTGAGCTCTCGCCCGCTGTAGGTTAACCCGCCAGCCCTGGGTCCCCGAACGGTCCGCAGCAGGGCCCGCGAGACAAATCCCGAGGTTGCAACTTCAAGTAAAGAGTCCACTGGGCGCACAGACCCGCCTCGACATCCAGCGCCTCTCGGCGACCACCCCAAACCCTACACAAAGCCCTACAAGAGCAGGGACCCTCCCCACCCTCCCATGCATACCAACCACTAGAACCGCGGGTTCCTGTCCGACCGCGCTGCCTCCAAGTGCTCCCAACTCGAGTGAGACGGGTCCCCGCGGGCGCCTGTACTCACCGCTTGCCGGGAGGGCTTCGCGCAGGGCGCACCGGAACGTGCGCCCCGCTGCGGCCTGAGGGCGCTCACTTTGAGCTCTGCGGGGCTGGCGGGCGCATCCCGGCTGCGGTCAACCCGGGACTGCCGCCTGCGCCCCGCTACCCGCGAACGCCCCAACCCGAGCGCCCTCTGCCGGCGGCTATGAATCCCAGAGCCCAGGCTGCACCCTCGCAGGGACCGAGTGCACCAGTTCCAGAGCCTAGTCGGGATGGCGCCCGGTCCCCCTCTTGCCTGTCACGGGCCGCCAGAACCTGGAAGAGGGAGGCGGAAGCTTCCTCACTCAGGACCCTACTGCCTGAAATACCCCTAAAAACTGACAAGGATGAAATATTCCTTTTGCTGACACTGCATTCATTGAACCAGTATTTTCTCGTAAGTGTCCCAAGCGCTGGGGTGACAAACATAACAAGGCGTAAGCCTTGTTCTCAGAGACCAGAGAGAACTGGCATTTACCGAGCAGTCTCTGTGTCTCAGGCGCAAGTAAGTCTTATATCGTTCACCCCTTAAAACAATCCCTCATCGGCCTGCTGGGAAAGGTGTAGGGCCTGCTCGAAGTTACCCGGCTAATCAGGGTGCTGGCTGCCTGACTTCCACCCACGTGTTCTTTTCACTTTCACGTCACTGCCCCCCCGCAGCTCAGAGTCTAGTGCGGGAGCCAATAAACTAACTACCTACCCGGCTAAAATAAAGGAGAGAACAAGATGGAGAAAGAAACCCTGGTGGAGGAGATTCCGCCTGAGCCCTTCGCAGCTGCCTCCACAAGGCCTTCTGGGTCAGACTTTGCAACAATCCTTGTGTCTAAATGGCGGCATCACAGTGTCTTCCTAAACATGGGAAGAGATAAGAAAGAGGCTCTGAAGCCACACTTCCAGGCTTCCTGTCCCCACCCCACCCTTGCTGGCTATATTCACCCTCTCCCATCTCTGAACACTCTCCCCTCTCTGAACTCATCTTCTTCCTCTGTAAAATGTTGATGGCATAACAGGGTTGATTTTAAGTATGAAGTGAGATGGTGTTTGCAGAAGGTTTGTGGCACAGCCTAAGACCCAGTCAGCCCTGCATGGGCAGAAATCCCCAGGACTCAGAAAATGAATGGACTTATCTCCATGAGAACCATGAACAACATCAGACACTGACATTTTCTCTGTAAAAACTCTGAATCTAAATAACAACCGCATCCAATTAATCAGCGCAAACGGCAGCTCAGCTTTAAATGAAGAGACGTCATTGCTCACGCGGGTCCCCCTGTGCTTGTGCCAGCAGCTCAGCCCTCCCTCTGCCTGCCTCACTGCTGCTGCTGACATTGTCCCGTGGACTGATGGTCAGAGACACAATTTCCACAGCACACATGCTCACAGAGCCTCATTCCTGGAGCGCCTTAAGCCATGCTTCCTTAATGCCTCCAGATCATTTTCCTTGCAACAGTCATTCCCTGAACGTCTTGACTTTACCTCATCTTGCTTCAAATTAAAAGACATACTTCTGGTTTCAGACGGTCTTGTGAGCTGAACATGTATCTCCCCATCTTCTGCCTACCCCAGCCTCAAATGTTTCCACTAAAATTACCCAGAAATACACAGAGAGGGGAAATTCCACTTTAGCCCTCAAAAACAGGAAAGGCTAGGATCTTTTTGTTTTTGTTTTTTTTTTTTTGCAGGCAAAAGAGCAGATGTAATTGGCCTGAAGGAAAGAGTACACTCCCCTGTGAGTCTCCAAATGGGGAGGGGAAGTACCCCTCCGGCACTGGGGGAAGAAACCCCAAAGAACACACTAACTCCCTCCAGATTAGGCTGAGGTCAGTAAGAGGGATAGAGTTGCTCTCTACTGACTAGCCTTCAGAAGTGCCTCAATTCCCAAGTCCCCCAGAGCAGGCAACCATGGCAGTGCCCACTGCTCTTTAAAATAAAATGACGGTGACAGCCCCAACCACAACACTAGAGCCTCCAGGACCTCGTCTGTATAAAGCTGGGCAGCTGGTCTGGTCTCAACTGGTGATCCATTTAAAGAAACACCAGTTCAACACTTGATAAGAAGTTTGGTATTTCTTTTGATAAGAAATTTATATATTTTGTAAGAACATATATTTAATAAGAAATGTAAATATTAACCAAAACTTATATAGAGGGAACTGCCATACATAACACACTTCTTAACATCCTTGATTTTCTCAAGCTTGGAAGCTGCTCCAAAAATCTATTTTTGCTTGAAAAGTTCCCTAAATTTTCTCCAAATTAGCCCATGCTGACATTTGTCTTAACTCTTCCAGGCCATTTACCTGCCAGGTCCAGGTAATTAAATTGGCATATATCACTTTGGTAGTGGTTAAGAGGTATTTCTTCTCTTCCCTGAGTAAATTTCTGCCATTTTTAATGTCAGAATATCAAATCTCCTCCTTACCCAGCTCTGCAGAAATCCAACTAGCAAAGAGAAAATCCTCCTAAACAGGTAGAGAAGGGGGAAGAACCTGTGAACACCTAAGAAGGTACTTTTATTTCCGGTCACAAGGAAAACAAGAGAGTTGGACAATTTTTCTATGGTTCTATAACTTTATGGCAGACACCCGAGATCCCTTTCTAGCCAACTTAGGTTAGTGGAGTTTGAACATCATCACTAAGGGAACAGGAAGAGTACACTGTAGCTTAAATCCCAGGATTTTTTGCACTTTGCACAGGGTGTGAATTTCAGAGGGGCTTATAGGTTGGCTAGAGGCTTGGGGTTTTTTTTGTTTTTTTTTTTTCTTCTTCCCCCCTCTCTTAAAGCCAAGGTGAAAGAAAGCCTTCCATTTTGTTCTATAAAAATATCCCCCACGTACATCAAGAACACAGATATAAAAGCAAGCAGGTATTAGCATTAGATCATGCTGGGATTGTAAACCCAAACACAAAAGCATCTTTGTTCTCAAACTGCCATGTCTTTTGAGCTCTACTGTGATTTATGCACTACAAGGAGGAGGAGGTTAAAATGATGCTTTTCAACAAAATTTTATTTGGAGGTTGTAAAAGTAAATGAATACAGAAGGCACGCAATCAAATGGGGAGCTTAATCTCATAAAAGAATAAATAAAACAACGGAACTGCCAAGCAAAACAAGTGATATATCAAGTAGGCTTGAGGATTATTAAAGCTGATTTTTATACCCAAAAGGAATGTTCTTAATGTCAGTGAAAAAAGACAGAGCTTGGCTGACCTCAATCAAGTAGCTAGAATGCTTGTTTCAGATAATAAATATCACATCTCAGAAATTCCTGATCCCGTGTTGTATTTTTCGCTCCGTTAGTTATTAGAGAGTTCAAAAATCAATATTATTAAAAATTTAAATAAAAATCAACAGACATCACTTTTAGTAGTGGTTCAGAGGTATTTCAGTGTGTATAACTTGTTTTCTATTTGTTACATCTGATCTTTTGTCTCCTTTTTCCTTTTCCTCTTGTTCTGCCTTCAACAGGCTTAACTGAGTAGTTTTTATGATTCTAACTTATTTTTCTATTTGTTATATCTGATCTTTGCCTCCTTTTTCCTTTTCCTCTTATTCTGCCTTCTGTAGACTTAACTGAATAGTTTTTATGATTCAATTTTATCACCCTTTGTTGGCTTATTTTCTGTAATTCTCTCTGTT